GTATGAGGTCAGATATTTCCACCTAGTACCTCCAATCTGAAATTTTATCTTCACTCAAGTCTTACAGTAAATAAAAATCTATTACAGAAAGATGCTGACCCTCTACCCTTCACCTTATCCTTCATCCCAGCAACCTGGCTTTACATTAATAGTCCTCTAATTTTAAGAGAACACATTTCATGCTTTGAAATAGAAGCAGATCTGAAAACATTCTTCTATCATGAACCCATCAATGTAAATAGACAATTATTATACCCAAGGAGTATGAAAATCAAGTATGCCCCTGTGCTGATTCTCTCTAGTAAGTTATCAAAAACACTCTTAAAAATTACAACCTTGGCTTTTCTTGCAAACTCTCTGAGCAGCAATGTACCTGAAGCTGTTAAAGAACAGGCCTTGGAATCAGGCAGGCTTCCATTCAGTCTTAGCCCTACCAAGTCTGAAGCTTCTCTGCAAAGACATGGAGCTTCTCCACCCTGCATTTCTCTCACCTGTCACATTCTGGACCTCAGAAAACACTGTAAAGACGAGATGAGACGCTTCATGCAAAGCACCGGACACTGGATCTAGTAAGAAGCAACTATTCAAACCATGGTAGTTGTTTTGGTTTTGTTCTGTTGATCATGGTAACAAACATAAAGCTAAACAAAATTACAATGCAAACTTACTCCCTATTTCTTGGGAAATTGATCAGTAGTTCGAAATAGAACCATTCCCAATGAGCATATTATCTATAGTAGACTGTTTAAAAAAATTAATTCCCAGTTGAGAATTCTTAAGTAGAAGAGGAGTGACTGAAACTGCTGTCAAAGTAAACAGCTGTTCCTCAGAGAAGCTACAAGATTTTGAAACTTTTCCCCCTTGGTCTACATGGCTTGAGGCAGCAGTCTGGAACAGATGTTCCTTCTTTAGCTATTGTAACAAGGCTCTCATAGAGCAAACAAAAAAATGAACCCGAAGGGCTGTGTCTATACAAATTAGTCATAAGATCCCAGAAACACTGAGGAGAGACTGTATGAGTTAGTCAAATGTATAGCAGAAAGCTTATTTAAACCCAGCCTTTAACTGCTTAAGTTTAAATCCCAAGACAATCTTAAATTATACATATTTTAGATCAATTATTCACAAACCAAATGATTGTTCCAAAACATGGCCACTTTTTCTTTTTTTTTTCTATTGGGAGAGGGGTTAGGTTTCAAGCTAGTTCTGTTTGACACAGCAATAGCAGTTATGCATTTTATAGATGTTAACACAGGTCAGTCATGTATAGTATAGATGCTGGAGTCAGACAGCCTGGGGAAGCATCTTAGCTCCTTACCAGCTATGTAATGATGGACAAGTCAGGATCTCTCTATACCTGTTTCCTCATCTGAAAAATGGGAATAATAACAGTACGCATACTACATCTGTTTGCTACCATAAGGATTAAATGAGTAAATATAGCTTCAGATGCATGGTTAGCTCTATATATGTTAGCTATTAAATCACTCATTGATCATCTGTTACTCAACAAATTTATCTATTATATGCCATGAATTGCACTAGAGATACAAAGATAAATATGACAGACACAGATCTTACTAAAGGAAGAAATGTCTGAACAGAGATTAGAGGGATGGGTATGATAATTTAGCCAGGCAGAGTATTGAGAAAGTGCTCCAAGCATAGGAAACACTTAAGTACAGTGGCCTGAACTTGAGAGAAAACATTCCATGGAAAACTGCCAATGTGGGGAGTAGGTATGGAGTGAAGACAGTGGTTCCAACTCCCGATATGTAATACAAAAATAAGCCTTCACCTTATAATAAAACCTGCTCATTCATGACCAGAAGTATAACTAAATGCCAGAGGATAAACAATGGAAACATTTTAACAGTACTTTTTAAGAAGAAAATTTTTGCCTATGATTGTGGATTTCCAGAACAAGATCTTCAACAAATAAAACTCTACATCTTTCTTTAGCTACAGATCTAATATTTCCATACTGACTCACTCATATTAACCTGGTTTTCAAAGTTGAATAATACGGAATTAAAGAGCAACCCAAGAGCTCAGAAGACTCTGACAAAATGAGACATTTATTTGTCAGGAGTTTTTGCCAATATTACCACTCCAGACTTCAAAGAGATATATTTTGTTTAAAATTTAAGCAGTATAATCATATTTATCCCCCAAAAAGAAAGAACAATAGAAGAGAATAAAGTACCTGTAGAAAATCTCACCACCTTGTTACAATCACTTCCCTTCCAGCCTTCATGCTTATTTATCTCCTAAATAAAATTTCTTCTATATACTATTGTTTAGATTTAATAATTTTTTATTAAATCTAGTGTTAACAATTTTAATTTAGTGCAGTGTACACATGAATGTGTGTGTGGTAGTAGTGACTTTTAGGACCCATAAGAACTCTGAAACAAAGTATAGCTGTCACTCTGTTACCCACTTTTTGGAACCCTTTTCTCATTCAAACACTTTCTCTCTCTGCCCACTACTTGCCCACATGAAATGCCAAGTTACCCATAGAATGCCAAAACCCTCTAATCCTTTTAGATCTATGAATATCTATTAAATGCATGACTGCTATTGCTGTGTCAAACCGGACTAGCTTGAAACCTAACCCCTCTCCCAATAGAAAAAAAGAAAAAGTGGTCATTTTTTTGGAACAATAATTTGGTTTGTAAATAATCGATCTAAAATATATATACTTTATATAGTTGGGATCTGGATTCAAATCCCAACTGGATCCCTTACAATCAATATGGCATTGATCTCATTAGGAAACCCTCCAAACGTCAGTGTTATAATTTGTGAAATGGAACATAAACTGTAGAATACAAGAGGCAGCGTGACATAATGTTTAAGAGTTAGGGCCCTTAAAGAAGGCTTTAAAGAAGATTTTATGGGTTTAAATTCTAGTTCGACCATTTTATAGCAGTATAACACTGAGCTGGATATGTTCCATCTCTGTGCCTCAGCTCCTTTATCTGCCATAGAAGAACTGTGTGGCTTGTCTGACATACTATATGTAAGGCATTTAGAAGAACACCTGGCTTATAGAAAATACTCAGAATAGAAGGATATTATTACTTCATATATCCATTTTATACTTGATGCACAATTGTGTCAGAGGTCCCCAAGACACCCTCATGTTTGATAATTTGCTGGAAAGGCTCATAGAACTCAAAAAAGCCATTATATTAACTGTGATGGTTTATTACAAACACTATTAAAAGAAAAAATGTGCAAAGGGCAGACTTCAGGAAAAACCAGGTCCAAGTTTCCCATTGCCCTCTCTCAGTGGAGTCCAACAGACAATGCTTCATCTTCCCCAAAACAATATGTGACAATATGTACAAAGTATTGCAAACCTGGGAAGCTTCCGTGAGTCTTGGTGTCAAGGATTTTATTATTGAGAGTCAGTCACTTAAGCATAGACTGCCTGGAAGACTAATCTTAGCTATTCTATCTCCAGCTCAGTAAGAGGTCAAATGGAGACAGTGTGGCCCAGGGCCCCAGGTAAACAAAACAGGTGTTCACCATAAATCACATTGTTAGCATATCTATATAGGTTGGCCCAAGACCCCAGGTATATAAAATGCCCTTATCAGGCAGGATATTTCTAGGTCTCTTAGTAGCCAGTCAGGGGTCAGTGTTCTCTGGAATATGAAGGTTTTGAGCACCCCAAGCCTGCTGAATTAACCGTTTACTGCATAATTTATTGAGCAACTACCATGTGCCAGGACCTATGATAAACATTAACTATATATTATATCATTTAATACTTAAAACATTTTCATGGGGAAGGAATTCACATTACTTTTTTAAAACAAATGGGGAAACTGAAGGTCAAGGTTAAATAAGTCTTCATAGACACATAACTCGTATAAAATTCAAATCTAGCTCTCTCAGACAGCAAAGTCTTTACCAGTTCCACTAAGCCATATTGTTTCACAAAACATTGCAAAATTTAAAATAATATATTGCAAAGTATGTGACACATACAGGTATATCATAAATATATTTATTAACCAAATTCATTTCTGACAGTGAAAAATAATTTACAGATTGCTTTGAATTTGTGGAAAAAATAAATTAGAACTGTGACCAAATGTGTATTTCTTGTAAACTAGTTTTCCTTTAACATACTATTTTTATTAAAAGGTTATCTAATCCTAACTAAATAATTATAATCAAGTCCAACAACCTCAGCAATAAAGTTTTCCTGAGATTAAAAAGAATCAGTTCTTTAAATTCAACCTTCTTTTTCTTCACACCTCAAAACTTTTTAATCACCACAAACAATTGCTAAAATACAGAAATGACTTACCCATCTATTAAGAATAACCATTTTTTCACTGTAGAAATATATCACCAGTTTCCCTAGGGAGGCAAAAATGCTTCCTCACTTTAATATATGTGTAGTTCTTTTCTTCCCCCCATCTAATCAGCTAATATTTTTGAAAAGATATTTTTAATGCCTAAATGAAAGGATTCCACATCAAAGGCCTGACCTCCCTATTAAAGTATCGAAAGGAAGCCCTACGAATGTAAAACCTATTCAAAGACAAATTGCGTGTAGCTTATTGTACAATGCATTAAGAAAAGGAAAAAAAAGCCTTATAAAAGCTGCATGGAATTTGGTAAAATTATATCACAAAAATACAAATTGATCTTAAGTATAAAGAAACAAATTCATAGCCAAAAACTTATTACAGAATTGCTCTGTAATCAGTCAGCAAGGGAGTCTTTATGAAGAACTTCACAATTTATCACTTTTTCAATCAAAATGTCTGATTACAGTTTAATGTTGGAAAGGTCAAAAGGAGAACAAACTGTACATTTTTCAATAGATTTTTAAATCTGAAATTTTATAGTTGACTTTCAAAATCAGAAAAGATAGATTTTCCTACAGCAACAAGAGTAGAACGACGTAATGAGATAATAAATAAGACAGTATAAATAAAAAAAACTTTTTAAAAAACAATTTTTTTTTATCATACCATGAATGTGGTTCTGAAGTTATTCAGGTCAGTAAGAAAGTCTTCCACGGACACCTTCTTCACATCAATGGCATAGTATCCCATTATACTCTGGTATAACTTTTCCATGTTTTCGTGTAACTTCGAAACTGTCTCATATTGTTCTTTTGCACTGATAACAAATCTGTATACTATAGTTAAGGTATTCTGAAATTTACAAAGTAATGCTTTGGGGGGTGAGAACTCTGTAAATCCAATGCTTTAGTCTAATAGCCACCATTATTACATTTCCAAAATTCTAAAATTACTTCTAATAGTTTACCATTCTTAAAGTCAGTCTATACTGCATAGCAACAAAATCTTAAATTCAATTGCCAATTAACTTTGGGAAATCATTAGAAAAGATTTATGTATTTAATATTTCTCTTTAACATATTTAAAAATTTTTTCTTCCAACTTACCATAATAATATATAATATGCAGATCATACAATATGATTTAAAATTATAGTTCAGTAGTTGGCAGCTGAGTAATTGCAATGATACTGAAATCAACAGTACAAGCATTAAGCACAACAGTTAAATTGGACAACTTGGGATCAATTTCTAGCTCCTATACTTGGTGGTAGTGTGCCTGTGGGCAAGTGCCTTCATGTCTCTGTGCTTCAGTTTCCTCATCTGTAAAATGGGAATAATAATATCACCAACTGACAGGGCTACTGAGAGGACTCAATGAGTTAACACATGCAAAGTTCTCAGAAAAGTGGGCATTTAGTAGCACACAAAAATACTTGTTATTATTATCCCTCATTTATTTTAAACTTTAAGGTTCTAAAAGCAAACAAAATACAATTTTAAGAGTTAAACTGAAAACTTCTTCCATTATGTAATCAAATTAGTGTTCTAACTTCTCTTAGAAAACTGGTATATAATTTCCTTTATGCATTAGATTATTAAAAATTATTATTACATACATAGGCACACACATATAGAAATGTTCTTCTCTCACTCATGACAATATAGTTCAAAACCCACTGAAATTAAGAAGATGAATTTAATGTGAATGTGACAGTCACTGATATTAGAAAACATTTTCTAAATAAACAATGAAATTTTCTTTCTTGTGTGGCAAACTGCTAATGCAGTCAGATATAATATGACTATACCACATCCAGAAAAAATGATTCTTTTAGAGAGAGCATCACTCATAATTGCCCATGGCTCCTTTAAATAGGGACATTTAAAGAAATGGAACATAGCTAAATTTGCAGAAGTCCTTTTATTAACTTTGACTAGCCATTAGCAAAATGTAAAACAAATAAAAAACAGTATTCAGGCAGGCCAAGAGAAAGAAGCTAAAAATGGGATTTTTATGTCTACAATTTATTTTGGCCCAGAATTTCAAAAATATATGGTTCTTCTGGCCAGAACTTTCATCAGTAGAGGATGAAATAAGGAAACTGATGCAATTGAGAAAATAATGAAAAATATTGAAAATAATGAAAGACCAAGGAAAAAAGAAACAGCACTACTGCCAGGTAGGGAGTAAATGTAGACTAGCATATGACAGAATTCTAATTCTTCATGATCATCATCATCATCATCATCATCAAAAAGAAAACACAAATGTAGTTAGCTGTCCTTGGGCAAACTGTTAAATTTCAACTTCTGTATTTGTCAAGAGCTTTGGAAAAATATGTGGGATACTCAACAAAATAAACATTTCATAAAATTCATTATAAAATATTAATATAAGCCCAATTACTTGATGTTTTGAGAAATCTATTTTGTTTTCCTTTACCAACACTGAGGCCAAATTCTCATGAATTTCTACTAGAATCACTGTCATCCTCCAGTTTGAGAGGCAGATACAATAACCAAATCTGTGTTTACATGCATTGAAACACAAGCATTAAGTGTTGGCCAACTAAGACTTGGAATTCTTCTCCTGGTCTGCCAGTACTGCTCATCACCAAACCACCTACCACAAACATATCCTGCATTTATTCTTAGGTCATACTACCATTATTAGGGTTCTGTCACCGAGGATGCCCACAACTTCCATTAACATACTTTTCAAGGATCAGCATCATTCAGTCCTATGTGTCTAATATATTTCATAGACTTTCTTAAGTACACAGGATCCAGCAAGCCATTCAGTAAGTGTTCACTGAGTTCCACTGTATTCTAGGCACCAGGAAAAACAGTAGCTAACAAGTCAGGCAAAGTCCCTGCTGTCATGAAACATTTTAGAGTATGGAGACAGATAATAAATAATGAATCAGATTTTCAACATAGTATAAGTATGATGTAGAAAAAAAATTGATATTACATAGAGTGACAGAGGTTAGGTAGTTAAAGTCTTGGCTAAGAAAGTCAGATTAACTAAAACAACAGAGGCTTGATTGTTAAAGAGCAGTGAGCTCTCCATTGGGTAGTACTCCCCTGCAAGTATAATATGACTTCAGAGAAAGAAAAGATTATTATAAATTTGGGGACTCCGAGAGAATTAAGAGCAGCACATTTAATGCTAGCTTTAAAAGTTGGCTAAGAAGGAATTACGTGGAAGACAGGCAAGAAAGAAAGAACGGAAGAAAAAAAGGAGAAGAAAGGGAGAAGACTAATTCAAGAGAAGAAAAATCTGCTACAATAAATCACCCAATTGCCCCATTTCCCACTCTTACAACTGGACTGTGTATTACACAAGTTTACACTTCATCCATTCCAACCTTCTATTTTACTTCCTAGTCGCCACAGTTCAAAGTTCAACATACTAAATTCCTTTCTTTGAAAAATGCTGTACATTATGCAGTGTAGAATATAGATATAAGTAAATCTTTCTCTCAATGAATTTACTGGGCTGGCTTTAGCATCCACCCAGTGATTTCAGAAGTTTCTAAAGCATTGCTATATAGAATAACACACACAAAAGTGTGAAAATAAAGTGGGATTTCAATGAACAAATTTAAAGAATATAACATGGAAAGGAGTCAAGTAACTTGTCACATAAGTTGTAATAAATACAGAAATATATAAATGTCTAGCAAAATAAGTTTTTCTGAAACACAGGAGAGGGAGTAGGAAGAAAATAGAAAGGCAAGTGCTCATGCAAGAAGAATTTCAAATGCAATGCTCTAAATTCTATTTGTTATTCTCCTTAAAATAAGACATATCACAGAATTTAAAGATCATGAGAAAGGAACAAGCACTACACGACACAAATCCTGGCATATTGTTAATTTTCTCACCGATAAAAATTTAGTAAGTACATACACCTCACATACAATAGTTTGCATGTAACAATACTGATATACATTGAATTTGGTTTCACATTTTTCAAGCAAGTAGTTACTGTGGAAATGGTCAACTCTAATTAAGGTTCTGACTAGACTTAGCAAGTGGGAGGTAATAATTATTACTAAAAAGTCAATGATATTTGAAATGATAGTGCATGCTTTTTAAAGGATGCACTAAATTCAACTTTTTAAATATTAAGCCGTATAGGTAAAGAGTGAGCATACATTGAAAGAATAAAAATACAATATACTATCATCAAATGCTATTAGTAAAATTTCACATTACAATAAAATTGTATCTCAATAATTTAAAACAATTCAATTAATTGATTTAACAGTTCACTAAATCATAATTGTTTAAGTACATACTTGTAAGATACATTGTTAACAATTTTAAAAATACACATATTCTTCCAGAATTGGTGAATGAACCAAACGTTTGATATGTACCTCGATTAACAAGCATTTAAATGAAAAACATGAACAAAGTTTAAGTGGTTAATAACAAACTTTAAGTATATTTTATTCATTGTGCACTTTAGATTCCAAATTCTTCAATTTTTTAACATCTAAGGAGCTCACAATTTGCCAATTTAATAAGATCTGTATAAATGCATTTAATATGCAAAATCTGACTTGTCAGTCCTAATTAAAGTAAACAAAGACTTGCAATGAATGAATTTAATTACTTCAAAACTAGTATGTCTAACTAAGATGAAAAGCAAACGAGTGCAATCTAATCTCAGCAAAGAATATTTATGATTATAAGCTTTGTCAATAGCAAAGTGCACCAACTGTTCATATATCTGACTTCCAAGAGATACATGAATGCTAATCAGTTCATTAGAGGCTTCTAGGTTGTGATATTTAGCGACAGGATGTAGTAGCTTTCTTGTCCATGGAGTATAATTGTACTCAGAATGAAAAATTGTTTCCAACAAAGCATCATCCTTCCTGTTTCTGATTTCCTGCTGGTTGCTTTTTATGAGCCACATACCTTTCAAGAAGCCGACATCATTCAGTTTCTTGTGTCATATAAATACAAGTATAGATATGTCCTGAGATCGTCTGCTAAGCAAGATTCTACAACCTTTACTCCAAGCTCAGGAATTCATCTTGGTTCTATAAACCTGAGCTTCATAATTAGTGCACTCACAGTGTACTACCAGAAGCTACGTGCAAGCAAAATCTTTTCTGAACTGCTTTATATCTATAGGGAACAATAATAAGTAGTTCAATTAACAGTACTTAGCTATTAACAAACTGTCACATATGAACATTTTAACATGATAAAATTAAGAAAAAAGCTAAGAATGATGAAACATATAACGGCAATAATATATTTATTTTAAAAAGCATACTTTGTCATATGAGAAGGTAGCACAAAAATTTTTTGATGAATACAGATTTCACCTTTACTTTAAAAAAAAAAAAAAGCCTTCCTCAGTGTGGTGATAAAGGCAGCCTTCCTAATGAAATAAGAAACTGGATGGGTGGGAAGATACAAAAGGAAACAAACACATTAGCCTGAATTGATTGTTGCTGGAGCATATTTTTATGATATTTCCCGACAGAGACAGTGAAGGAAGCTAAAATTCAACTAGTTCACAATTAAGCTGAAAGCATATACAATAAAATCTATGACAAGCCAAATATTAATTTTGTGATTCACTAAATCTCAGGAGAGAAGAGGTAGAAAGAGGGAAAATAGTCATTTTATTTCAAGTACCTCAGTTTAAGATATTAGGAGTGTCTATTTATAAGAGCTCATTTTAGAAGTGAGTTATCTTTCACACAGAATTCATTTGTCCATATGGGATTTTAATAATGCATTGTAGTAATATTTTATTACAACACAAAAGATATCAGTCTGCAATTTCACAAAATGGTTTGCAAAGCAACTCAACATTAGTTTCAAGAAATAAAAAAGTTTATTACTTCAGTTACTCATTAGAGATTAAGCTACAAAGTTAGTGATAATAAATATAATTGAATACAAAGGAAACCTTAAACAGGACACAAGCCTCATGCTATTTATTTTTGTGTGTGTGTGTGTGTGTGTGTGTGTGTGTGGGTGTGTGTGTATGAATATACACACATATATTTATCGATTTATTTAGGTTAGGAAAATATCAATACAAGTAGTGACTATAATAAACTCCATTTTGACTTTGTAAGAATATAGTATTTCTAAAGGAAATATTAAATTTTATGGAGCAAAAACTAATTTACAATACACGCCAATTCTTGAAGTTAAGCTGACTAGTTAAACTCGCTTATGAAGTCTTGTACCTGCTTCTTAAAACATTTCAAAGGTATCTAAATCACATCATGACTTTAGAGTCAAACTTCCTCAAACTAAGTTTTAATGTCTTTTCAATTCTTAATGAACATCAGAAGGAAATAAGGCACATGACAGGGAAAAAATGAGAGAACATACTATTATCCAAGCTGATAAAAAGGAAAAAATAGAAATTAATGGGTATACATTTGTGGGCGGGCATGGTGGTTCATGCCTCTAATTCCAGCACTTTGGGAGGCTGAGGTGGGCAGATCACTTGAGGTCAGGAGTTCAATACCAGTCTGGCCAATATGATGAAACCCTGTCGCTACTAAAAATACAAAAACATTAGCTGGGCGTGGTGGTGAGAGCCTGTAGGCCCAGCTACTGTATAAATGCATTTAATATGCAAAATCTGACTTGTCAGTCCTAATTAAAGTAAACAAAGACTTGCAATGAAAGGAGTAGGAAGAAAATAGAAAGGCAAGTGCTCATGCAAGAAGAATTTCAAGTGCAATGCTCTAAATTCTATTTGTTATTCTCCTTAAAATAAGAC